AGTCACAGATGGCAACTCTGTTAAGTCAAGCATCTTCTTAGCACCCCACAAAAACTCTGCTGGGCCACAGGGGGTGGCACAATCGGGCAGGTCCCGAGGGCTCAGGGTGCTCGTTCCCCCATTCAGGCACTTCCTAAATGAAATCCCATTTCTTTTTTCCCCTTTTCCACTCGGTCCGGGCTGCTTTGCAAAGCTGAGCATTCCCGAGCTGCGGGGAGCTCTGTGCCCCCAGGAAAGCTGCGATTCCCAAACTGCTGCAGAAATGAAACAGAAAAAGTGAAATATTATTTTATTTTTTTGAGCTTTAGGTGATCCTTCAGGGAGATGTTGAGGCCGCTGTTTTAAAGTGCTGAGGAACTCCCCTGTGTGAATTTACGGGAGGAAATAAATAGGAAATGTGGAGGAAATAATTAGGAAAGCTGAAGGAAAGGATACTTTGAACCTTCACTCCCCTAAATGTCGCGCCTTGCAGCATTGCTGCAGTAACCACCAGCCCCAGGGGAGTTATTTCTCTCTCATTAAAGATGTTTCTCTTTGTAGCCTGGAGAAATGCAGAGAACTGCAGGTGGGAAGGGGGTTCCTGGTGCTGGAGGAGGGATGAGGGAGCGCTGCCCGGGCAGGGCTCTCTGAAGCGCTTTTCTCTTTAACCCAATCCATATTTCCATTTTCATAACTTTGTAATTGCAGGCGGCGTATTTATTTACATAAGTAGTGGCTGTAATTACAGAGAATGAAAATGTGTAATTATTTAATTAGGATCCATAATGAGGCTGTGTGAGGGAGCTCGGAGGCAGATGCTTTTGGTGAGCAGCGCTGGCCAAGACTTTGCTCTGTGTGGTGGAGGGGAGGAAAGTCGGGAGCCAGGAGGATGCAAACAGGAGCTGAGAGCAGGAAAAACGCTGCTGCTGGCTGGGGAAACCTTTATTTCTGTCCCGAAAGAGGAGGCTGGGCTGAGTAAACTCTCACTCGAATATCTCAAAGCCTGGCAGGAATATTGTGCTGGGTTCTTCTCCTTGCTGAGCTGAACAAGGACAGATCTCCTGGGAATGCTGAGGCTTTAAGGGAGCCCCGGAGCGCACAGAGTTCATTTCATCGGCTCTTTGGCAGCCTCTGAAGAGCGCCCAGAGGTCTCTGCAGGTGGATAACTTGTGGCAGGACAGTGATTTCAGCTGGGCTGGACAGCTCGCAGAGGCACAGCCCTGCCGGGGCTGTGTCCCCAGGGAAGCGCTGGAAGCGTCTCCAAGGGCGAGCGCCGGGCTGGGAAAAGCCTGCGTGGATTTCAGTGCCCCCTCCAGGAGCAGGGAGTGACAAAATCCAGCCCAGCACTGTTTCACTGCTGGGATGAGCTCCTGGGAGAAGCAGGGCGGGGGTTCAGGGCTTGAGGGAGAGCATCTGCTGGAGATGCGGCCCCTGGAGCATCCCCCTGGCCGTGCCCGGGCTGGGAGCTCTGTGTGCCGGCTCGGGGCTCTGCAGGGACTCCCGGCTGCTGGATTTGCTGAGCTGGAATGTTCCCTGCAGGGGTGGCACCTTCAGCACCGTCACACGCCTGGGTTCCTGCCCAGCCCTCTCAGCGAGGGTGGATTCACCCTCCGTGCCCGTGAAACCGCTCCAGGCTGGGGATTCCTGCCTCTGGAGGGGCACAGAGCCCAGCTCCAGCGCAGCTGGTGCTGCAGGGACCTGGGACATCAGTTGGGCTACCAGGGAGGGCGAGTGGCCACAGCCCGGGGCTGGCAAACTGCTCCCAGCTGCCGGCTGCACCCCGGGACGGCTCCCCTGCACACAAAACTTCTGATTTCAGCGCAGGGAGGGAGGGAACAGCACAGCAGAAATGCCATCCCGCCCCCTGAAAAACCTTTTCCTTTCCCCTTTCTGGGGTTTGGGTCCTCGGCAACTTGCAAGGGCAAAGGTTCAGCTGACAAGTGACAAATAAAGTGTTTGGGAATGGGAGGAAAAAGAGCCTAAAATTAATTTCTCCTTAACGATTATTCTTCTTCTTTGACTCATCTCCCTCGGGATATCTTTGTGCTGGAACATGATACAGAGAATGAAAACATTTCATCCCTGACATCCTTTAATTCTCTATTTACTGGGTGATGGGTGAGAATCCAGGGCCCAGCCCTCTCCTGGCTGTCCACACTCTGAACAGAAACACGAACAGAGGGGCATCAAATCCCTGCCTCTCTCCTGTGATGGGGGAAGGTGGCAATGCCCTGCTCAGGGCGAGCACTGAGGTGTCCCCATCATAGTCACGGCACCAGTGGGGGTCAGGACATTTCCCCCGGCTCCTCTGAGGCAGGAGAGGAGCGGTGTGCCCATTCTGGGGAGGTTGGCACCATCCCTGCAGGGAATCGCCTCGAAATTGTCTCTGCTTCACTCGGTGCCAGCCTTTTAAACAAATCACTGTAGCAGGCTGCGGCACTGCCTCCATCCAGTTCCTGCCAGGGAGAACACAGTTTTCCTGAAATTGCCTTCTCGACTCCATAACCATTACCCAGCAAATTATCTCTGAGTTTCTGGCAGATTCTGGGAGGGGAGACGACCTGAACCGGTCCAGCAGCGGCTCCGGGCTGGGAGGAGCAGCCTGGTGAGTCCCTCCCCTCCTCGGTGCCCAGAGGAGCTGCCAGAGGATGCTCGGGCTGGGTTCCGGGCCTGGGCTCTTCCCTCCCTTCCCACTGGTGCTCCAGCACCATCTACAGTCCTCCCCAGGATGCTCCAGAGCCACAGGGAGCAGCGCAGGCTCAGGAAAGGGTCAGTCGCTGAGCCCAGGTGTGATTTGGGGGATATTTGCAGCCTTTCTGGCCTAAACTCTAACTGGGACAGGGGGCTTGGAGAAAAAACATCCAAACCGACCCCAAACCCCCCGTTTTGACGGCAGCCGCCCAGCACAGGGTGGGTTTGTGCCACAACACACCTGGTGTTGCTCAGAGAGAGCACAAACCCCCACCCTGAACCTGCAGGACAGGTCATGAAACATTCATGGGAGTTTAACATTAAAAATTCATTGGTGCTCGGAGCACCGAGCCACCAGCTGTGTCTGTCAGGGATGGGGAAGTAACAAAAAAAAGTTTTTATTCCTTGGGACAGCTCTTCCAGTCTGTTCAGCTGCTCTTGGTTTTGGGGACTGGGGCAGAGGAGGATGATGCAGCAGCCCAAGGGATTTCTGTTCCACCAGAGCTCTGAAAAATCATCTCCTGCCTCACCACAGCCCAGCCACGGCTTTGAAAATCCTCTTTCAGCAACCAGAAATTACCTGGAGAATCAGGGGCCAGCTGAGAGCGGCTGCCAGACCTCTGCTGTTCCCTGAGTGCTCCAGGGAGGCAAAATCCAGCTCCTGGGGAGGTGGGGAGGATTCCCTGAGTGATGTGGGACAGTTCTCAGCTGTCCTTCACCTGTCCCAGCTCAGCTGGAGATGCGGGGATGGTAAAAAGCTGCTCCAGGCTTTTTGCTGATTTTTTTCCCCCACTTTAGGAAGTTTTGATCCCCAAAGGAATTGGAGCCTGCTGCTGTCGGGGCTGGCTGGAGCTGCAGCCCCCTCAGCAGCTCCTGGGGCTTCTCATGTGGCAGGGAACGGGAGGGGCAAGGGGGGCAGCAGGTGGGAGATGCTCTGGGGGCAGAGGCAGCCCCACAGCTGCTGCTCTGGCAGCCCCAGGGAGGGACAGCAGCGTCCCTTGGGACACCTGGGGCACGGAGGGGGAGCTGAGCCACCAGCCCCAGCCCTGCAGGGCCCTGGCAGCAGGAGAAGGGGGGTTTGGGGACAGGGAGCGCCTTCAGCGCATGCACAGGAACCTGAGCTGGCTGCTGGGGACCTGAGCTGGCTCTGCTCCTCCTGCCATGGTGAGTGGGGATCCTGCAGCTCATTCCCTTCCCAAACAGCCAGCCCTGGCCCTGAGCTGCTCTGGGCTCTGCTCCTGTGCCCAGCAGTGTCCCCAGAGCCTGCAGCACGCCGAGGATGCCACGCACAGCCCCAGGATGGCCCAGCCCAGGAGGGGAGCAGCGGGGACACAGCCCTGCTCAGGGCACGGTGGGTGAGCTGCTCGTGGCCCTCGGGAGCAGGGTGGGCTCTGTGTGCTGAGCTCTGGCAGAATCCATGGCTTAGCCCAGCCCCTCTGAAGGGAAGGAGCAGGTGAGCCCTGGAAATCAGTGCACGGCCTGCCAGGGGCTCCAGCAGGGGCTTGGGAGAGCTGGGAGAGCTGGGAGAGCCACAGCAGCCACGCTGAGCCTCTCTGCCTCCCTTGCAGGTCCTGCTCAGGTGTCCCCTGGGTCTCTCTGCACCGTCAGGAGGCTGCTCCTGCTGCTGGGGGTGGCTGGGCTGCTGGCAGGGACGGCGGCTGGGACGTGGCTGCTCGGTCAGTGTCCCCCCAGGACAGCCCTGCTGCCGCTCTCAGAGCCAGTCTGGGGTGCCAGCAGCGGGCTGGGAGGGATGGGGGCTCCCTGCTCAGCCCTGCCTTGGGGTGGGGCACAGCTGTGCTCCTGGAGAGGTTCACTCGCCTCTTGCAGTGGGCAGGACTGTCCCCAGTTTGGGGCACCTTTGGGTGCTGCCGGGCTGTGTCAGCCCACCCTTGGCACCTTCTCTGTCTCCTGAAGTGAAGCACGTGCAGGAGCCCCAGGCAGGGCAGGGTCCCCCCCAGGAGCAGGATTTGGATGCCATCCCAGCGTGTGATGATGGTGAGGAGGAAGAGCCCGTGGTCCGGGGGGCTCCCAGCACAGGTTTGCACCTTTGATTGATGTCACAGCGGTGGGGAGAGGGGAACCAGGCGTGGCAAGGGCAGAAAAGAGACTCTTTAGAAATCAGTATCAGCTGCATTTTACACTTTTGCTTTTCTCTTTAGTCCTGCTGAGCCCCTCAGCACCGCAGCTTTATTGCACAGAGGGATCCCACAGCAAAGGCAACTCCTTCACGACTCCTTTGTCTGTGACCCCTCTCACTGGGCTCATTTAGAATTTCTAATTCCTCAAGTGGTTTTTTTCCTGGTGTTTAGGGTGGGTTTTTTCCTTCTCAGGCTGTGCACGACCCTACACAGCTTGGCTTTAGTGTCTTTCAGGATCAGCAGAGTGAATTCCTTGCTGGAAGCACGGCTGGAAGCACATCCTGGCTGGCTCCTGGTGTGCCACGGGCCCTGGCATCCCTCCCTGGGCACCCGGCTCTGCCGGCAGCTCGGGTACCTCAGGTGGGCACGGCACAGCTGCTGCCCTTTCTGGGGGGTGGTGGTGGCACAAACTGCCTGAGGGCTGGGGGTTTGTCAGGTTTGTCAGGGCAGCAGAGCCAGGCCTCACCATTCCCTGGGGAAACTGCAGGAGCAGCCAGCAGAAGGGGGTGAAGCTGGCCGATGTCCCGGTGGGTGCTGGGCAGCAGTTCCTGCAGGTGACAGCCGGGCAGGAAGGCAGCCTGGAGGACACGTGGCAGGTCAGGTAAGGGCAGCTCCGGGGCGAGCAGGGTTTGCTGAGCCTTTTCTCAGGCTCAGGCACAGAGATGTGCGGGTGCTGCACAGCAAACCTCCCTTGGGAACGGCTGCAGCCGCCCTGGAGCTCCCCAGGGATCTTGGCTGAAGTTTATTCTGACCAGAGCCCTGCTCCCACACAGGAGCAGCTGCCAGTCCGGTCGAATTGTGGCTCTGCAGTGCTCAGGTGAGTGATTCCCTCCTCTCCCGAGTCCCCAGGATCTCTGCCTCGATGCAGAGGCTTCTTTCCTCCCTCTTCCCCTGCTCCCCTCGCCCTCCAGCAGGAAGGGCTGCACTGGAGCCTCTCCCCCCTGTTCCTTGCAGAGTGTGGGCTGCAGGCGGGGGCCCTGAGGGTGGTGGGGGGCACAGACGTGTCCCCCGGGCGCTGGCCCTGGCAGGTCAGTGTGTGCCAGGGCTCCCAGCACCGCTGTGGGGGCTCCGTGCTGGCCCCCGAGTGGATCCTCACAGCAGCTCACTGTGTGCACAGGTACCCCGGGCTCCCTGTGCCCATCCCCGGGCTCCCTGTGCCCATCCCTGGGTTCCCTGTGCCCATCCCTGTTCCCTTTGCCCATCCCTGGGCTCCCTGTGCCCATCCCTGGGCTCCCTGTGCCCATCCCTGTTCCCTGTGCCCATCCCTGGGCTCCCTGTGTGCATCCCTGGGCTCCCTGTGCCCATCCCTGTTCCCTGTGCCCATCCCTGGGCTCCCTGTGCCCATCCCTGTGCCCATCCCTGTTCCCTGTGCCCGCTGCTAGCCCACACTCGGTGCTGGTTGCCGTGCCCCCAGCAGTCCATCCCGCTCGGTTGCAGGCAGCTGCCAGCCCCAGCCTGGCAGGTTTTTGCGGGCATTGTCACCCAGGGCTGGCTGAAGCCCGAGGCGGGGGTGCCCGTCCGGGACATCTTTCTGCACCCGCTCTACAACGAGAGCAGCCTCGACTACGACATGGCCCTGATGAGGCTCCGAGTGCCCCTCAATTTCTCAGGTCAGAGTCCCGGTTCTGTCCCGGTTCTGCCCGGTTCTGCCCGGTGCTGTCCCGTGTCCTCCCGTGGAGTTTTCTGTCCTATCCCACAGGGAAAATGCCCAACCCCAGGCTCCTCTGAGCCGCTCCAGGGC